CCCACCAAAACGTCAGCCACGTGGTGTATTCCGTCAGGCCCCGCTGCCTCGAATCTGCTGAGCCCTCTTAACTCACGCTGATATTCAAAAAGTCTACACTGTTTGGTTGCATTGTGCAAGGTGTATGGAAGGTTATCTGCCACCCTGGGGATCCTGTACGTGCTTCTGAAGAGCTGTAATAGGATACGTGCCTTATCTCTATCACTCAACGCTAATTCTTCAGTCGACGTTTCTAAAGTGCCAACCGTTTCCCAAGTGTTTCCCTTAGATTATATATATATATATATATATATATAAACATAAGACATTCATAAAAATCGTTTGACGTTTTGCTCCAAGCTCCTCTCAAATCGTTACTTAGCTTTGTATCTTCTGCGCGAATGTGCCCCGTTTGTAGCTATTCCATGACGGTGGTGCCATACAGTTTATAGACTGCCCACTGTCCTCTGCGAATGATTATAGCTCTATCGATGTTTGAATTTCACACAGAAGGTTGCTGTTTTTTTCTGAATACAGCCAGGGGGTGAACCGTTCTGTGAGTTGGAGTAGACTTGCGTTGATATGGCTCCATCTGGTTTCCAGAGATGCTTTGGTCGTATTAGAATCCCCCGTGATTGTTTGCATCGATGGCGCGCAAGTCCAACTCACCAAATTCGCAATCCACTGGGGGCTGGTGTCAGTTACATCGGATCATATGCGCTCTGAGCGGGTTCTAATTTAAGAGTCCCGCACATCTGAATGACGAATCAAGCCGGTGACCATTGCCGCAAACAGTAAGGTGTGGTTCTGGTTTGAAATCAGGGTCTTCAGCCAACCCCTAGGTAAAATGCCTCGATCATAATCTCTTCAAATCCTATTCACGCCTTTGCCGATGACGCTACCTACACTCTTTGTTCTATTCCTCTTCATGCATCACCATTCCAGCATTAATGACGACCGCTCCTCCCTAAGTTTTTCCCTAATTTGTAATCTGGACCTTATTTCTGCTTGAGGCTGTCGCAGTCGTGTTCTCTTCAATGCCAGTAAGACTTCCTTATGTCAATTTCTCTTAAACACGCATCTTACCTTCGTTAAATTTTAACACAGACATTCTCCATTCCACAGATTCATGCAACCTATTGAAACTTCCCATATCTTCTCTTTTATGGTTACCCTATATTTATCTACTAAACCCGCACGAAATCGGCTTCCTCTTCCGTTTCTTCATCCCCATTCAAATCCTCTGACTTTACGAAGCTCAGATTCGCCCTACGCCTTAACACTGCGGTTATTTGTGAGGTGGAACTTCGTCCACCTCCCTTTCTCTTAATGTGGTTCCATGTAAGGCCATTCGTCTCATCAACAGCTTGGGTGCCTCCATAACCCTGCGAGCTACACAGAACGGCTTTTCACAGAAGTAGATCCTATCATGCCTGAAGGCCAATGGGTAGGAGCCAGACAAAGCCAGCTGCTTGGGCACTTGGATTCCTTCTATCCACACCCTCCTCTGGAGAGGTCACTTCAGCAAATAAACATGGTGAGGAGCTAGATGGGCATAGGAGCAGGGTACCAGGGACTTACTCTGCACGGTTGGAGAAGTCTTCGCACTTCATTGGTTAGCTACCGCCCGCCCAAGCTGAGCAGCCCCCAGTCAACGAGGTGCTGTCCCGTCCACGTTCCGCTTGTCTCATTGGGTGCATGAGACTAAGGGCCAATCCCGAACATCGAATCGACAATCAACGCACTAGCGAGCAATACTGAACGGAAACCCGGAGGCCCTACGTGTCGGGTCTCCAGAAGCCCCCACACGGGTGCTTCGTTCACGTTCCCGCGTTGGATTTACGCCCCACTGCCTTGTGGGTCAGACTTTTGAGTCGAAGGCTCCGGTTGGGGTTCCCAAAGAAAAACCCCTTCATCGGCGTGGACTACCGCGAAGTATGTGGTGCGCTGAAGTCTTAGGCACTCATTTTGAAAACCTCTTTCCGATCTATCTAGTTCTTCCTCAATCACAAATAATCCCAAATGCGTCCTATTTACAAGACCTATCGAGATCACTAAGCGTTTTACCAGCAAGCCCAGACAATCAGAAGCCATGGGATTTTTAAAGCCGAAATTCCCTTTTTACTTAGCCGCATTCAATGTCCGCACACTACCAGATTGGTCAACAAGCTGCCTTGGCTGGAACCCTTGAAGCTTTTAGTCTGGGTGCATGTCGTCTCCGAAACACGCATACTGGACCCTACTTCAAGTGTCTCCCTGCGCTCCCCTAACCCGACCTCAACCTCACGCTTCACTTTCAGCGTGTCAAGCGATTTGGCATCCGAAGCTCGCAGTGTTGCTGGTGTTGGGATTGCGCTGAGTGCTGAGCACTTGCCTCTTGACTGGATTCTAGTCATTAACCGACTGTGCGCTGTACGCCTCAACCGTTCAGCACGGGTGAACAGCTACAGAGGGAAGCATCGATGCTTATTCGTCATATCAGTGTATGCACCAATCGATAGCAGTAAACCAGAAATCAAGGACTAGTTCTGCGAGTACCTTTCTCAATTACTCCAAAGTGCTCGATCAACGTGGTAGTTGTCGCCGAGTACTTTTTTTGCTCAAGTGGGATCCCTGAACGAATCAGGAAGGCCTCTTGGTGGACCACATCTAATCCCAGCCAACTGAACGGACATTGCCTACTTCAACTCTGCGCGGACCATAGATTGTTCCTGTCAAACACGCACTTCTCGCACAAGAAACGACACCGCCTTAAATGGAAACCGCGAACCTCTTCACCGCGCCGAATCTATATCGACCACATCGCTATCAGTTGCCGCTAGAAAGGGTCGATTCAAGACTGCCGCTTCTACTGATCAACACCTAAGGGTACAGACCACGCTTTGTTGCGAGCCAAAATCTCACGCCTGGCAAACAACCGCAAAAAAGAATACTCACCATACAATCTCAGCGACCGTTGCAAATCAGCCTTCGAAGCGAAACTCTCCGATCGCCTATCAGTTCAACCACCAGCCGAAGGAATCAATGAATATTGAAAGCATATCAATGAAACTATGTATATATCGGTGGAAACAATGTCGGACGCTGGCGCAGGCTCGAAACAAACGGTCGATTCCCCCCACCTCGGCTGCCCTGATGGACGCCTGCAGAGCAAGGGAACAGGTTCCAATTAAATGGTGTGAATCCATCATCCGATCGATTTACAATAAGGTGATAGATCCTCCTGTAAAAACCACAGAAGAATTAGTTTGATCAACATTACCTCTAAACTTCTCGCTGGGATCATACTCCGCCGATTGTCTGCCGCACTTGAACGGTGCACGCGTGAGGACCAGGCTGGTTTTAGACCTGGTCGAGGTTGTATCGACCACATCACTCCGCCAAATTCTGGAGCACCGGCATTCTCTCCGTAGACCCACCATCTATGTCTTCCGAGATCTGAAAGTCACTTTTGACTTAATCGACCGCTCTNTATCTCGGGAAATAAGTTATCTCAAAAGGCATAAAACCTCTGACCCAAATGGGCTGTTCCCACCAGCGTTTAAGGATGGAGGCTCAGCGTTAGTCTTGGAGTAAACAAAACTCTTGGGTTCAGTGTGGGATGAGGAACAGGTTCCAGCTGAATGGTGGGAAGCAGTGATCATATCGATTTACACAAAAGACGACAGGTCCTCTTGTAAAAACCACAGAAGAATTAGTTTGATCAACATTACCTCTAAACTTCTCGCTGGGATCATACTCCGCCGATTGTCTGCCGCACTTGAACGGTGCACGCGTGAGGACCAGGCTGGTTTTAGACCTGGTCGAGGTTGTATCGACCACATCACTCCGCCAAATTCTGGAGCACCGGCATTCTCTCCGTAGACCCACCATCTATGTCTTCCGAGATCTGAAAGTCACTTTTGACTTAATCGACCGCTCTAAACTCTGATGATGCCTCTCCCTGAAGGGTGTGCCCGAGAAGTTTATTTCAATATTACGATCGCTGTATACTAATAGCCGAAGTTGAGTCCGGGCTTACGGTACTTTTTCGCCCGAGTTCACCACGGAAAGTGGCGCTCGTCAGGGACGCCCTCTCTCCTTTTCTGTTCAATTTTGTCATAGATCTGATTATGGAAACAGCCCTATCCTCGTGCGAGGATAGTGGCGTCGATTTACTCCGAGGAGGCAGGCTGTCTGATCTAGAGTATGCAGACGACATTGTGTTACTAAGTGAAGATCCAGGTGAGTTGCGAGCATTTCTGAATAACTTGAATGCCAGCGTAGCCATATTGGATATACGTTTTGAACCTTCAAAGTGTAAAATGTTACTCCAAGACTGGGTTGGTCCAGTACCCAGTCACTCTAACAGGGTGAGTAATAGACTAGGTGGATAAGTTTTGTTATTTGGGCAGCTGCATCTCACCCGGTGGACGCATCACGGATGAAGTGTCAGCTCGCATACAGAAGGCTCGGTTGGCATTTGCCAACTTGCGACATCCGATTGTCTGTGAAGGGTCGAGTGTATGCTGCGGCAGTTCGGCCATTGAGTAGACAGGATAAAGAAACACTATCGGTGTTCGAACACCGCTGTCTGCGTGGCACTGCACGAATCTGGTGGGTTAGCCGGACAAGCACTGCTGAGGTAGGGCATGGATTTTAGGTAGTCTTAGTCGCCCGATGGAGCCAGTGGTCGATCTCCATAGATTGGGGGGCATTTGTTACGTTTTCCACCAAACACATTGCCACGGTGAGCGGTTTTCTTCGAGGTAGGCATTGGGTGGAATAAAGCCAGTGGTGGTCAAGCTAAGACCTGGCACGGGGGTATGAAAACCAGAGGACTGGGTCACATACGTCGCGTTCCGGTCCCTGGTCGAAGACCCTGAAATAATCGTACTCGTTTGGTTGAGGTACTGTGTTATATCACAATGTCGGGAGCAGTGGCGTTCGTTAATCTCAATTTCTTTGCAACCTTAGTCCACTGAAATTCTCCATTTTGTACTCTTCCATTTTAAACCTCCCTGTATTTCTTCTACTGTTCATCGAAATATTTAGCTAAAAGACGGCAACCAAAACCGGCGCACGAAAGTGCCTGGTTAATGGTTGTAAAAACTTGAACTGAAACTCACCGTTGACCCGTCCCCAACAAGTAACTTGCAGTCACTAGTTCAACATCGAGCAGTCGCTTCTTTGTCTTTATTCTATCGATACGGCTTTGGATTCTTCTCTAGTGAACTTACCGCTTCTGTCCCTCCCCCGCTTGTTCTTCCTCGTATATCTCGCGCATAAGCCGCTAGTCACTGGTTTCAAGTGACTCCCCAAGTGCTGTATTCCTAACTTTCAGTCGTCTTTTCTTCGAAGAACAGCACAACTGTGGAAAACTCCCTCTTTCAGTCTCCCTTCCAGCGTACAACCCTATGTTAAAACGCTGAATCAGCAAGCTTGTTCTCACTTGACTGTTCCCCTTACCTTCCCACACAGCATATCTATGGATCACGGGGTTCACCCCCTTTTACTGCATACACTTTCGTGTAATAGAAAGAGTGGCGAACTTTCACCCCCACTCCGTGAAGAAACTCCGCCACGTGACGACAGTTAGGTGGACTTCGTCAACTGAAGCTTTTTGAGACACCATCGTGAAACAGCATCTTCAGATGTGTGGGAGAAAGGTAACTGGCTATGATGGAAGACACCCACCAAACTGAGGGTTTTGGCTCAAAAGAAGCGGTTAAACTCGAGGGAACTTCGGTATCAGTGGCATTTACTCAGTGGGCTCCCGATGACCCTGACTGAACCTTCTCATACCACAATTCGTGTCAACATTTTTACCCTATTATACTATGCCCAAAAATATTTGAAGTACCTCTGATAGAATTGCATTATCCTTGGTTGATTTTTATTGATTCTCATGACTACAGCCCTCCAATAAACCCACCGAAAGAGATCGATGATCCGAACGACAAAAAGCCTGATGACTGGGATGAACGTGAAACAATCGTCGACGAGACGGCCACTAAACCAGATGATTGGGATGAAAGTGCACCGGAATTCATCACTGACGAATCGGCGGTTAAACCTAGTGGTTGGTTGGACGATGAGCCAGAGTTAATTCCAGATCCCAACGCCGAGAAACCCAGCGATTGGTGAGTAAAAAGACTATATTTTACTCCAATAAATGTCCGTCGATGAGTTTATTATCTGAGTAAAACTTTCTATAGATGCAACACTTACGTTATCTTTTCTTTCGTTGCTTAGGCTTCAAGGTGATTTTACTGTCGCATTTTACGTAGCTGCTGTCCTCAGTTCGAGACAATACCTACCGGCGATAACATTGAGTAGTACTTCCAGCTTCGTCGAAGGTCGTAAATATAAGTTTATCCTTCATCCCGCGTATGTTCAAATAAGGTTGCCGACCGTTAGCTCTACATATACCGTTTAAGGACAATATCTTTTCGACTTTTTGTCAAATGCTCCAATCACCGAATAGCGTTTTTCGGTCTTGAGCTAAAAATGCGTTTGAATCGGTTGACCACTAAACGCTATTTGATCCGGCTCTCATCCAAGTGCCCCAGTTATTTGTCGACCAGTCAGAGTTACTCAGTTTGCGAATATTCTGCAACAGCTGAACAAAAAATCTGTGGTATGTGTTCATATGTTGTGGGCATGTTACTTTCCGGCTTCCCAGACCGAGAAAGGAGCACAACCTCGGGGTCCCCACCCGAAGCCTTTGGCTAGAAAGCTAGACCTGCAAGACAGCGGGACGGAGCTCAGAGTCCGCAGTCCATTGGGGGTGTCCAGTTTATTGGATCATACATCCGTTGGACGGGGTCAAACGTCCAAAGTGCCCAATTTTTCTTGAAATGGTGACCACTGCCACAACCAGGAAGGTGCTGGTGTGTAATTCGTACTCCTTGGTTGGTTTGGAATCAGGGTTTTCAGCCATCTCCTCACAGTGGTTCACCGACTCAGTTATAACCCCGGATGTTGGCTTTTCGACCTCTCATTTTGGTGGGTAGACATTGAATAGGGCTTCCTCAACAGAAGCTACTCAAGACGTTTTGTTATATAGGAGCACTTCGTGAGGTATAGGGGATTGTTGACCAGTCACAACCCGAGACATCCACCTGACCATACTGAAATTTAACAAATAGCTTTTTAATTCACTTTAGGACGATTGTACTGATGGTTATACTGATTGACGTACAGCTATTTTACATACCGCCTAATGAAAGAATCATTGATTAATTTCGGGCATTTTTGAAACCTGCGTTGTCAGTCAATGTTTATTCGTTTTCAGAAATAAAGTACTCGGTTATGTGGGCTTTTGTCCTTCCCCTTCAACTCCCGCGATCTGCTGTTAGTCGTTAAACGAACCCAGAAGTATCTACTGTTTGCAATGCGAATAATTGTTGCGTTAACAATAAGTCCGTTGTCCCTTGGTCTATCTTCAGGGATGTTGACATGGATGGAGAGTGGGAACCGCCCATGGTTAAAAATCCAAAGTGTGCCGACGCACCAGGTTGTGGAGAGTGGCAAAAACCTCAAATCAAAAACCCGAAATTCAAAGGCAAATGGGCTCCTCCCGTTATCCGTAACCCGAACTATAAAGGCAAATGGAAACCAGCCAAAATCCCCAACCCGCAATATTACGAGGATATAGAGCCGTACAAAAACCTTGCGGAAGTGGTAAGCATCTTCAAATTTTTTTCTATCATTTGGTTATCTGGATTTGAAAATGCACAATGTCCATGTTCTGTGCAAATACCTCTAATAAACTTTTGATTAAATTAGCAGCCGTTACAAGTTTTGGGGTAGTATGCACTAACGCTAACGTCAGGCTCTGACGAGCACAGAGACCAAAAACAAAGCCACTCGCCAATTTGCAAGAATAACTGGAACTTGTGTCTCTTTGTCTGCCCGCCTATGGTATTATATCTGATTATTTTTGGTGTACTCTTTCATCATTTTGACAGCATAACTGACCGAAACGTGGGGAACAAGCATGTATCCAGTTTCCTTTGAAAATGAAAACACTTCCATTTTGTTCGACCAAACATTTATCTAGCAATTTGTTCGTACGTTTATTATCTTATCCATTTTGAATATCCGTTTCCATCAATTTTTTATTGAGAATAAACCTAGGGCTCAAAATTTGAAATAACCTGACTCGGGTTGATCGATACACTGACTTGTCATTGATATACAGTGGGTGAACTCATTTGCCTAAACATTCGCTTTCATGATTTTATTCCAGGTCGCAGTCGGTTGGGAATTGTGGACGATGACTGACAATATTGTATTCGATAATATACTAATTGTTGATTCATTGCGGGCAGCCAATGAATTCGCCAGAGAAACATGGTTAAAGAAGAAGGACGCAGAGCGCCTGGCTGATCCTAAAGCAGTAAGTGGTTTATGTACTAGTGTACCACCACATTTACTAAATCTCTCAACACATTCACAATGATCCATCAAGTGAGTGATAATAACGCGCCTTTCTACCTGAAACAGGATAACGAGGCAAAAACTTTACTTGCTTGAAAAGCCTTTTGAAACTATCTAAATGTTTGAACGGTCCGCCTGTTTATGCACTGTTCACGGAGGAAAACAGGCGAAAAAAGCTTTATACTCAGGCAATGAACAGCCAGCTGACTTGTTTCGATCTTTAAAAAGCCACTCATTTACTTCGCAGCTGCAAACGATTGCCGCACTGAAAACACTGAAGATCTTTTCGTCGTATCATTAATGCGTTGAAAAACCGTTCCTTCTCGAGCACTGCCACCTCACTGTCGGTTCCAGCAACCAACGATATCATTCATTGGTTTTTACAAGACTTACGTGGAAACCGCCAACCTCCCCCTGCGCTGAACCCAGATCGACCACGTCGCCATCAGTTACCGCCGGAGAGGGTCGATTCAAGACCGCCGTTCTTACTGGTCAACAGCTGTGGATACAGACCACGCCTTGTTACGAGCGAAGTTCTATTTACGCCTTGCAAACAACCGCAAAAAGGCCACCGACAACGGATACTCACGATACAGTGTCAGCGATTTATGCAAATCGGCATTCGAAGCAGGGCTCTCCGATCGCCTGTCAGTTCAGCCATCAGTCGAAGGACTCAATGAGTAATGGAAGCGAATCAAGGAAGCTATGCAGATATCTATAAAAACAACATCGGACACTGCCTCAAGCTCAAAACACAAACGATGGATTTCGTCGTCCTCGGCTGCCCCGCTGGACGCTCACAGAACCCTGCCTCCAGATGCCACATACGACAACACGCAAATCCCTTAGACGCCAGCTCATCAATCTTCTGAGGAATGACCGCGAGAAGTGGTAGGTAGAAAAGTGCATAGAGATGGAGAAAGCTGTGGCTATTGGTAATAGTCATAACCTGTTCCAACTAATTAGGAATACGAGCCCTAGGAAAAATGGCGTAAGTGAGGTAATTATGGAATCCGATGGCACACTGATTGACGTTCAGCAACGCCGTCTTGACCGTTCGGTTGAGCACTTTAAGGCTCAGTTCAACTGGCCCCATCAACATTTTATCTTGAACTCTCCGCCTCGACTGGACAATTACTGCCAGTTGATGCTAGTTCTCCATCTGAAATGGAGGTATCTCGGGAAATAAGTTATCTCAAAAGGCATAAAACCTCTGACCCAAATGGGCTGTTCCCACCAGCGTTTAAGGATGGAGGCTCAGCGTTAGTCTTGGAGTAAACAAAACTCTTGGGTTCAGTGTGGGATGAGGAACAGGTTCCAGCTGAATGGTGGGAAGCAGTGATCATATCGATTTACACAAAAGACGACAGGTCCTCTTGTAAAAACCACAGAAGAATTAGTTTGATCAACATTACCTCTAAACTTCTCGCTGGGATCATACTCCGCCGATTGTCTGCCGCACTTGAACGGTGCACGCGTGAGGACCAGGCTGGTTTTAGACCTGGTCGAGGTTGTATCGACCACATCACTCCGCCAAATTCTGGAGCACCGGCATTCTCTCCGTAGACCCACCATCTATGTCTTCCGAGATCTGAAAGTCACTTTTGACTTAATCGACCGCTCTAAACTCTGATGATGCCTCTACGAAAAGAATGTCGGAGCTCCAGAGTTTGGTGAAGAGTGAA